TCGGCTATCTTCTCGACGGTCTTCTCTATCGCTCCGTATCGAGAATCTTCTGAACACCAATTTCTGCTGCGCACTCTGATGTTGGGCTTAACTTGTTGACACTCCAAACAACACTATACGGACGACGCCACGCATTCTTACAGCCATGGTACATCTTCGTAGTTTCGGGATGGCTAAGTATGGCGCGCTGCATGCTGCTTTCAGAACCTCCTTCCGCAATGTTAGCACCTTCGGTTCGTAAAGTCTCTACTCACAAAAGGCATCGATTGATGTAAGCTCTCTCTCATGCGAATAATAAAACCGTCGCTCGCCTGATCCTTCATGATCCCTTCTTTTGAGGTTGTTCCCACTGCCAATGATGATAAGACACCACTAGGTCTCTTGAACAACTTCACCTTTCGATATCCAAAGTAAACTACTAGAACAACTGTTCTTGCTGCCTTGTTGACCGAGAAAAGCAACTCGATCTAGCAAAAAAATCACAAAAATGAAAACTTGGCATTTTGTTTCTCCTGTCGGGGTCTCCAGTATTCTTCTCAAATTCTTCTGATGCTGCTCGGCTTCGATGGGTATTTCGTGGGGGAGACCTAGGTTGTTACATCACATGCAGAAATATACGGGATAGTACACATTACACGCGGCGACTGGCCAACTGCGGCACAACCTGCAGACCTGGCATGCGGCAACACGGCACGCCAACGACCCGAGGTGCACCAACGGGTGCAACACACCTGTGCGCGGCACCTGCATGCAGTACGCCTATATCACCAACGGTCAGTAGCTACGATTCATACTTATATCACTGGTTACGTCTCCTTGTGTTGTTGCGTAGCCGAAGACTGACAATCCCCGATGCCTTGCAACCCGAGTCTATTTTTTTTTTTTCAAGTAGGTTGAGCTCCTAGTACATCCTCGTGGATTCATCCTTCTTCTTTATGAACTAAACTGACGAATCCTTAAGACAACACACTCTGTTGGATGAAACCGCAACTCAACACTTCTGACTCTAGGTCTTGAGTTCTTAAAACTCCTTTCGCTCGACTTCATAAGGCGTTCCCGAATACTGGTCCTGTTCATTGTACAAAGTCGGTTGTGAATTTCCACCATACTTCTGTTGGATCTTCTGGCAACTGCTATGTACTGACGTCTAGGCATTCATGAACTATCGGCACTTCTTCAGGAGAAGGCTCCTTTTGAGTACTCTTGACAATATTTACTAAGAATCTTGGCAATCTCTCATTCTTAAGTTCTTCTTCATTGTTGATATGACTCACGACACGGTCCTCGCTTTCGCTCTATAGAAGATGATCTGCTCGCCCTCAGCAATATGAAGGGTCACCTAGTGCTCGTGGCAACTGATGTCGGCCCAGTACTTGTTCAACTAGTCCATGCCAAGAATCTCATCGAAGTTCTTCATCTCGAACACGTACGTTCAGGTCTTTCACCAAAGTGTCGGTAACAATCGTACTTCTCGAGCCTAGGCTATCCCCTATGGTTCTGACTGTACTAACATTCTAAAATTTTAATCGCTTTTAGGTAACTTGACTAATTAAAGGATCACGTGCTCCAAAATACATAAAAAAAAAGGTACAATATGCACTAAAACGTGGCTGACATAGTACATTGGTTCTGGTTTACCTCAGTTTGAATCAGTGTGAACACTTGAGCTCTGCCTCCCTGATTCTGGGCCTGCTAGTTCTGTCCCTAGGCACGCTCCGGGAATGCGTTGGCGAAATGTCCCGGTTTCTTGCACTTGTATCATACCTTTTGTCCTGACAAGCAAGCCTTTTCATGCCTCCTACCACAAGTGCCACAGGTAGGAGGTCCCTCTGCCATGTGCTGGATAGGCTGAATGGTCTGAGGGGGAGGCCGATCGCCTGCTATCCATTTCCTCTTGCATGCACTCAAGCTGGCTGAACGGCTACCGGCTGAATCACCATGGGTTGGGCAACTACTATCTCCAAACTTTAGCTGACAACAATTTGCTGAGCTGAGAGAACCGTCTCAGTGTAGAACAGTGAGCCATGACTCGCCACCAAATGCCTATTGTCTGCTAGAAGACTATTAATGAACAACCTTTTTCTCCTCAGTGTCGACGAGATGCTCCACAAAGAGGCTCATGGGGGTAAACTCCCGCTCATACTCCACTGATCGGCAACCATGGCGCAAGTTCCAGAACTCTCTCTCCATGCACTCCCAGAAATGCATCGGATAATACTTCTTAGCTATAATCTCCTTCATTCGATCCCAAGTCAGGGTTGCACGCTCGGTTTCCATCTTAAGTCTCCAATAGCTAGACCACCATCTACCGGCGTCACCTTTCATCTGAAACTGCAAATAATACTTTGATCCTCCGTGCAAGCAAGCAAGTCCAAGATACGCACAAGTTTGAGGAACCACTCGTCTGTCCAGCAAACACAGGCGGATGCAGGCCGCGGAAATGAGACACCAGTTGGGCCTGAGTCGGACCCTGCACTAGTTGGTTCTGCAGGGCACCTCCTCTAACTCCTCTTCCCCTTGATACCATGAGCTAGCACAAGGTATACTTTTAGGTTAAACTTGATTTCAACCTTGCTAGAGCTCAAAGTCCTTTAAATAGAGGGTAAATCCTAGGCCCCATTCTAAAGTCATACATGTAATCTCAACATGCTGATAATGAACTATCTCATGATACATACCTCGAAGTTGACGCGATATGAAGAAGGCGAGTGGTCACACTTTCAAAACGTTTCCGAAAATTTTTTTGACTTTGAAAATTTTCACGTCTACAGAATTGCTGTCTGGCTCTGATACGATGTTGTAGCGCCCAGTTACTCTACTTTAGAAAAGACTAAGTTTTCAGAAATAAGTTTTCTCGGGCACTACTTAAAAATCTCTTTCTTTTCTAAACTTACTGAAGCTGCTATTCTTTTCTTTAAAATTTAACATAAGTCTCTCACTTAATTTCTTATGGGAAATCTCTTTCCCAAGCAGCTATCTTAGCTTTCTTAATTATTTGAGACATAATAAAACTTGGATTAAAGAAAATCTCAAAAACATCATAGTCTCAATCTCAAAGACCAATATAAACATTAAGTCTAAAATGTCTGCGGAAGCATACTCATAAATATGTAAAAAGACCACCCTTGCCCTTTATTGTCCGTCGCCAGCTGCTTAATCTGAAAGGTGGGAAATAGTGGGGGTGAGTAAACACTAGCTCACTGTTGGAATATGCTATGTGATTATTCAGTATAATAACATATACCATACTATTAGCATTAATATGAATAAAACTATTTCAACAGTTCTCATCCTTCGGATACATGGGACGCTCCCTAATCGACAACAGACTACTATCTCATGTGTACAGACTTTTACCGTCAAAATATGTGGGACGCTCCCCACCCAGGCATTGCCTACACTCAAGAATTGCCTACGATAGGAGATCTAACTGATGCCTACGCTCAGCAAAAAACACACAAATATACCTCAATTATAATATCATGCAATTATAAAGAATAAGGTATAGTAAATTAGAAACACCCACCTCGAATGTAGATGTTGGTATGCTGAAAACTCTATTGGACTGCTCGAGGGCTCGACTCCACGGATTCTACATTTTAAGAAGTTTAACTTTTATAAATATCTCATTTTTCTCTTGGTAAAATAAATAACCAACTTGAATAAAATTTATTTATCTTTAAGGCTTCTTGGCTTAATTAATAAGTTTACTTAATTTGGGGAACTCTCGGCTAAAGGTAAAATAGGGCTCAGAAAAAGATTCTCAGAACTGAAAACTAGCTCGACTTAAGGCTCAACTTCGAAGTACATAAAGCTTGGCTCAAGCTGACACTTAGGCTCGCGCGACATTCAAAATTGGAGCATATCTTTTAATATAATACGTGCATAGTGCTGAATCGTTATCCTATCGTATACAAAGATGCATATCTACAACAATGATAAAGACTAGAACTTCAAAGATTATTTTATAAAATTTACTAGGCCGAAAACAAAATGTTAAGATGCTGCAGAAACTGGACGCAAAACAACATACGCAGTCCGTGTACTTTAAACATAACTTTTTGGACAAAAAATATTTTGAATGATTTTTATGCCCTTTGAAATATAAGAGAAATCTTCAAATCATTGGAAGAAACTAAAAGTATCAGGTCACAAAAAAAGGTTCAAAACAGCTAAGTAAGACAGACTGCAGTGCAACCACAATTGACAAGAAAGCAGACTGCGCAATAATCATACACTGGACATAACTTTCAGTGTAAAAGAGATAATCTTGTGATTCTTACGCCTATTTCAACGTAAGATACACATGTACAATTTATGTTCAGACATCAAAATCATTCAAAAGATGATGGCCAAAACAACAAAGAAGGTACAGACTTGTACGACCACGATTATCAAAGAAGACTGACTCGACAACGATCAAACATTCTTCATAACGTTTAATATAAAAATGATAATCATTTGACTCTTGTTTCTATGAAAGAAAAGAGACTGAACTTTAAATCACATGAAGGGTTAGAAAACATATGACTAAGTTTGTGGGCTATAAATCAATGAGGGAACAATATACAGAATGCAGGTAAAAACATAATCAACCTATGCTAAAAACTCAGGTTCTTTCTCTCAAGAAATCAAATAAATCTCAAGTATTAGGCTTCAAACAAAATCATGATCTTTCTCACAAAACAAAATAGATCTTATGGCTTCAAGGCTAGTACAAAAACATGGCAAAAGAGGGTTCCAATTTCACAAAATCTCTACAAGAATATGAATCTTCTCATTGATTTAAACTTAAGGCATGAATCAAATTCTTGAATAAATCTCATATATATTCTTATACGATTCAAGCATACTTCTTACAAAATAAAACAAGAGGATTTAATTTCTACCTCTCTTCTTGGAATTGAATTATAGATTGGGATCAGATTTGAATTGAGAGGCTCGGTCAAAGGCTTGGAACGACTGCTCTCGGTCTCTCTAGGTTGATTCCGATCTTGAGTATGCTCGTCCACGACCTCCTTGGCAAGGCTGCTCGCGTGCTCCCAGATGGAGGTTCGATTCTTCACGTCCTTGGTGGCTTGAGTTCCTTTTTGCTGAGAGGTGAGAGTAATTTTGAAAGGGAAAATTTCTTGAGAAGCTTAGGATTTTGGGATGGAGAAACTAATGGTTGAAGACAAGAGGGAGGGGATCTTTGCCTTGGAAAAATGCTTGTCTTTAGGAGAAAGAAACGTGAATTTTAGGAAATAAGTTATAGGAGATTGTGGATGTCTTTATTTGTTTGGGAGTTGGAAAGGAATGGGAGTTATATTGCTTGAAGATTTTGGCCAGATTTCTCATGCTAATAAAATACTTACCAAATATGGCCAAGATTTATGGGTTTAACTCTTGGTAAAGCCTTGCTGAACAGCTAGGTGAAACAAGGAAAGAAATGAAGATAATAATCTTACCTTAAATTGTTAGCTTTAAGTTTAAAATGTGAATTGCAATGAGGGCGGTTTTTCTTTGTTGCTTTGACCAAGCATAATCACCACTTAAGGCAAGATTTTTGTAGATCTCCTCTTCTTAAGCTTTGGAAACGTCTAAATTCCTCATATAAATTTTTCTTTTTTCAAAACATTTGGAACACTAAATCTCTTTTGTAAACCATGTGGAAAACGTGCTTCGAAATACTTAACTTAAAACTTGCTTCTTCTCTAGCTCTCTTAACATCTCATAGCTCATTTCATGAATAAAAATCATACTTGCATAAACAAAACTTGTTCATAAGTCATCATGCTCAAACCAAGTCTCAGACCATGCAATTAAAACTCATATCATGTCTCAAATTTTAAAAATAACTTAATAGCATACAAAGTTTTGAAGCGAGTTCATTATGACCACCCTTCGTCATCGCTCCAGCGCCAACTCGATCAGCCTGGGGTGTGGAAAACAATAGGGGTGAGCATTTGCACTTACTCAATGAGGAAAACTTTCTACGCAACATTCAATATAATAACATATAAAATGACATTGACATGTAACATGAATAACTACGCTGCTTGCTTTACCTGTCAAGATGGTGTTACCCAAAAAGTCGGGGTTCTAGTCCGGTCCTTCTGACTAATGGTTTTGCCATAAGCCCAAAGTCTATGATTTTTGTTTCCTTCCGGTGAAGCCAGAAGTCTATGATTCTCGTTTCCTTCCGACAGAGGGTACTGCCGGAAGTCTATGTCATAATTAAATAAACCACATATCTCAACCATAATATAAACGATTATAAAGAATGCAAAACGTAGCATAAAAATCCCCACCTCGTTGTGCAGTTGATTTGTTCTTTGAAAAAATGCTCTAACAGTTGAGGACTCGACTCTTCGAAAAAACTACATTATTGGGAAGTGGATTTTAATTGATGCAAAGCGAATTATTGGTTATATAGAAATTAACAACTCATAGCTCTTCTCTTGAAACTCCTCTTGAACTCTACTTAAAAACAAACACGTTTAAAGTCTTGAAAATTATTGAATTCTTAGCTAGCTTAAGTCTCTAATTAAAGGGATTCTAGTCCCCATACCATCTAAAGACTCAATTCTAAACCACTAATCAGATAATGACCACTTACGAGTGCAAACAAAAGATGGAAACTATTTCCAAACATAAAAATCGAGCTACCGAAAACTGGATAACTCTTCCATGTGCAGCTAATTTAATTTGAATATAAATTTTAGTAGAAAACACGTATGAAAGTGATTCTTTTCCCAAACTGATCTCAAGACATACATCTAAAACTTTCATTTAGTCAGAAAATGCAAACAAGGGCTTTTAAAAGGTGAAATTTCAACCAACATACGCATTCCAGTGCTGCCAGAAATTTGAAAATATATCTCATGCGCAGTCCCCGTTTAATGAACATAACGTTTGATGTGGAAAATATTTTGAAATAATTTTTAAACATATAGAAAGCCAAAAGACAGTACTATATTTCTCGTGAAGACGTCGACCGCATACGAGCACGTTAAAGCAATAACAACTGGTCAAACTTAAACAATAACAGGTTGCCAACTCTATGGAAAAACTGCATCGCAGTGCTCGTATTTTCAATGGAAATCTTTTTTATGAAATAGGTACTTGCATGATTCTTACTCTCACAGAAAGACAACAAACTGAACTTCAAATCATATGAAGAGTTCAAAAGCAAACTACTAAAGTTTGAAGGTCAAAACAGCTCATGAAATGACGGACATAAAACAGTAAACACAAGTTTAATCATGACAACAATTCATGGATTAATACAATATGAAGGCAACTTAGACCAAACCACTAAATTTGATTTTCAAACCTCAAACCAAAACAAATAATAACATAATTCCAGCCTCTAATTTCAATCAAATTTGCATGAATAAGGTTCAAAATAACATGCTCAACAAACTGTATTTTCTTCTTTTTTCAATGAAACTCATAGGCTAAAGTTCTTTATTTATCCTAAGTCTTAAGCAAGCACAACAACTCAAATTTTCCAGATTTTTAAACAATTTTGAAACCTCTTTGAAAAACAACTTGAACCAAGATCAAACTTGGATTTTCTTAAATTCCTTAAACCTCATTAATCCTTAATTCTTCTTGTTATTAAAACAAATAATCTCAGCCCAAAAATAAGAAAAGGATCGGTTTACTGTGCTCGAGAAAAGGGAAAAAAGAAACAGCTCAATGTGGTCTCGGGTGCTAACATGGCGTCGAATTTTTCGCGTGGGTGCGGTGTGCGACTCACGGCTGCTGGACCCCTCGGCGATGGACGCGCGTGCTCCATGGCTTCGAGGCGTGCTGCGTGAAGCTGTAGTGGATAGGGCTGGGCGACGTGCGATGGCGGGGACACAGGCGGCTACTGCTTGGCTTCGGGGCATGCGGCGTGAGCTCGACCGAGGATGGAGAGTGCTCCGGTGATTTTTGGACAGCCTCGTATTATTTTGCGTGCGGAAAAAATAAAAATCTGATGGAGAGGAGATATATTTATAGTGCTAGGTTTAGAAGACTTGAGAAAATAAGGGATTCTTTAATTTTGGTAGGAAAATAATTTCTTTTGATCATGACTTGGTGACCAAAAAATTTTGGACTCTCTTTCTTCTCTCTTTTCTCTTCCTCACGGCTAAAATACTCTTACGGCCGAAATTATGTGCTATTTATTCCTTAGATAAATTCTCATTCTCCTTTCTAGCTTAGGACTTTTATTAATTAATGAAAATTATTGATTTAGGGAATTTTAATTAGGGTATATTAAATAGATGGGGACATCTAATTAATCTTTATTATTTTAATAAAATTAAATGGACGGGGACATCAAATTAGTTTCATTTTTTAATAAAAAGAAAAGTCGAGCTTATGACAATAAAATGCATGAAATGAACTATGCTTTTTCGGGGCGCTACAATTTTGGTTTCTTTTCCTCTCTTCCATGAACTTTAAATAGTTAAACAAAATTTTTAACCAAATATTATTTTGACAAAAACAAATTAAAGGGATAACTTTACTAAGGTTAATAATATTAAGAAAAAATAGGTAGATGAGGACATCTACATAATCTTAATGAGCTTATTAGAATTTTGGTCAAGCTAACAAATGATGTGAAATGCATTCATGAGAATAAACTAAACTAGCTCTTATTAAAAGAATGGGGCACTACAGATATTTAGGTAACTCTGGTATGGATCATTGAAAAGCAACCAAATGGGTCATGATATACTTGCAGAGAACTAAAGATTACTTTGCATCGATTCTGATTTTGTTGGTTGTCAAGATAGTAGAAGATCCAAACCCACAACTGTTAATAGGAATCCACCTTGTGCACTCTTTATATGACACCCATCCACTCCAATAACCCTTCTGCACCCATTTAGAAAACTCATCTTCAGTGAAGCAAAACAAACATAAACCCTCGAAAATGTTTGATCCTGGTGCAGCCCAATCAGCACAGTTGAATCAGGGTTAGATCTCCTGACCTCATTTGCATATGCCCACAACAGTGTGTATTGTTCCTCTATGCTTCCTTCCAGCTGCTCCAAAGCAAGTTTCTTTGCCCTCCATGCCTGAAATGGGGTGACATTACACCTTAGACTTTGCATACAATCGACTCTGAATCCTTTAGGTTTTCTTGTAGGATCTGACTGGAACTTGTGGAGATATTTCCCAGCTAACCAAGTTGAATTAAGATTTTTATCATTCATTGTCTTGGAGACATATTCTCTGACTTTATGTACTTGAATCATTAACCTTTATAGCATGCAGCCTCCAATCACAATCAGGCTCAACACACTTAGCATGCAATCTGATGGTGTCATTCTTAGTAATTTTCACATTTCTTTTTTCCCTAATTGCATCTGAGTGAACTGCCATCCTAACTTCTTTCTTTGTGTTGAAAACCATTCCAAGCTTCAACCTTTGATTGTACAATTGCCCTGGATTGAACAGAAGAGCATTCTCATTGTTCACCTCCTCATCAAACTCCTTCCCGCTGTAGTAGTCATCCTCACTTTCCACCACATCTGCATCACCTAATTCATCATCTTCTTCAGAAGCCCCAACATGGATTGATGTATTGTGATCACACCACTCCACCTCAGAGTTTATGTGTTCAGTGAAAATAAGATCATCATCTTCATTATCACATTCTTCAGAATTAGGCTCAAAGCCAATGTCTTCACTATTATCACTCTCACCACTACCATCTCCCTCATCATTTTTACCTCCCAATTCAGGCTCACAGTCCCTTCTTTCACACTGTCCACTAGCCTTAACTCCCACCTAAGCTTCAAAATCCTTTCTTTCACACTACCCACTAACCTTAACTCCCAACTCAGCCTCATAGTCATAATTTGCCAATGATTCATCATCTATCTCCCAATCATTAGACTCTTCATCACATGTGATGCACTTAGCCCCATTATCAAAATAAAAAAAGAGCTCTCTAGAACTATTTATAGCTCCTTTAATGAAAACAAGTTATTCCTCATCTTTTTTTATTTCAGTAATGAGACCTACCTCGGTTTTTCCCCCGTAAGTAATGGTTCCCTCCATTTTTTCTCTAATTGCCAGCCTGTAAAGTGCTTCAGAAGACATCAGACATTCTTGGACGAAGTCGAACTTGTAAGCAGCCCCACCGATGTATTTCTTTTCCCCACCATTAGTATGGAAATGACCCCTAGACACATAAAGTGAAGAGTTGGCTTTTCGAGTCTGCATACAAAACAAATAACATAGATCATGTTAAATTGGACAACAAATTAGAAGACGACAATAAACATTTCACTTAGGGTTTCGAAAAGGCCACATGAACTTGAAATTTGAAAAATTTACTAACATTTCTCAAATTGTGAAACGAAATTGAAATTCGAAAAATTCACAAACAAGAACTTACCATAATCGGGTGGTGGAAACTCAAAGTCTTCAAGTGGCCTGAACATCATTAGATTGTCCATTGTCCTCTACTTCACAATTTTCACCGAACAAATTTTTTGCAGAAATTGGATGGTCAAGATTCAGGGAAAAATCGGGATTTTTTTGTTATGGCTTGAGAAAATGACGATTTGGGTTCTTGTGTGTGCAATTTTCCTCCAATTTAAGCGTTAGTCGATGTATTTTTCCCAATGTGGTGCATAAAAGAAAAAAAAATGAAAACAAAATCCATCTCAGCAGCCGGTAAGAGTTACCTACGGTAGCCGGTAGAAGGACGATTTCTCAAGATTTTTGGCATTTATGGGACGTTTTTCAAAAATGGGTATCGGAGAAGATTAAATTTCAAAAGGGTGTCAGTTACAAGACTAAATCTTTAATTTTTCCTAAACTGCTTACCATCAACCGCGAACAAGGACATTATATAAATTTGTAATATGATGCATCACTTCCGTAATCTAACCTATCAACCTCATTATAAGGATTTATTATTTTTAATCATTAATAAATCATATAACCAGGAGATTATGTAGAAATAATTATTTAGATTTTCTTAAATAGACATAATTACAAAATATGTCAAATAACGTAGAGCAGATTGCAATTTTGCCCAGCAAAAATTGTAATGTCAAAATTATATACTAATTAATCCAGCATAAACATATTGTTTGAACACGTAGGTTAATGTGAATATTTTTCTATATTTTGCAATTAGTTAGTGGTTGATTTTTCTTAGTTTTAACATATTTTCAATATTTTGTTTTTCATTTTTTTTTAGTTAGTAGGTTTTATGAAATGGCAAAATTTATAGTACAAATTTGACATACTTCCCAAATTATTAGCCACATTTATTTTTTTTTTCTTTTAATTTTTAACCCTAACCCAAATCATTACTTGGTTTGAGTGCTTCTCTAGAATAAGTTAGCAAGCATAGTTAGTGTCATATCATATATTACAGATGGAAGTTAAATATATATATATGCCCTATGTAAACAAGCGGAGTCGAATCGAAATCGAGCTTTAAAAGGTCGGAGTACTCTAGAAAATTACCTGATCAAAATCATTTTTTTAAGCCTTATTCCAAGTCGAACACAACTCGTTAACCAAACGAATTTTACATGAACTCGAATAATCCAAGCTCATGTGCCTCTTGTTTAATTTATCAGCTCCATGTTCCAGAAGATTGATCAATAATATGTACAGTCCCTACATGATTGGTTTAAAAAAGTAGAATTGGCAGACCCGTGATCCTATGGAGTCTAAATTCGGCAATCATATATGTAAAAAGACAATCTTTAGTTCTTGGCTATCTCTCCTTTTCAATACAAACTGTCCTTTCGAATTTCACATGCACACCCGATATACGGCCCATTTTGTGCCCGTATGTCTTTCTTGTATTACTTTCTTGCTTGCCTAATTCATAAAATTCCAAAATTTAGTGCTAATACTTCCAAAGGTCTTGATTATTATGGTTGTCATGTGTGTTTTCTCATCAAATCTCACCTTAGAGAATTCAGAAAAAAATATTTCAGATTCTACAATCTATATATTATTAAGAGAAGGAAGTCAATATAAATAAAATATTTATTTTTTTTCATTCAATATTATTACCTTATTTGAAACTCTATGTTTCCTATTAGAAATCAAAACTTTTGAAAAACAATCTAACATTCTATAATTCTTGTAGAATATCAAAATTGAATACATATAATTTGCCATAATTCGGTTATAAATTAAACTATCATGAATTAACTATAAACTAGTACAATGTCCGTGAATGACACNTATTATAATATAATGATAAAAAATTAAGTATAAAACTAATACTTAAGAAAACTAACAAAGCTAATTATTTAAAATATTACATAAATTTTAAAATATTTTTTATACATATTTCATGTTCATACTTAGTCAATATATATTCTTTTCTGTTAAATAAATATTTTATGCTATGTTATTATAAATTAATTTCTATTTCTTCACAAGATAATTTGTATATATATTTTTTTTTAATTTTTAATATAGTTTGATAAATCAATTTAAAATTTATTTATAAGGATATATATCATTATTTTGTATTTTATATATGTAATATGGATGTCAAATCGAAGATTGTGAAAAGATAAAAAATTTGATATATCATATATAAAAAACAAAATACAAATAAAAAATTTTTAAAAATAAGAAGAAGACACATTTAAAATAATTGGTGGAAGAATTAAATAAGAAAAGGAAATATAATATATAGTAATGTAGGAAAAGAAAATATAAAAGAGTTTGTGGTAACTAACTGTATAATAAAAGAAGGAAGAAATGCAATCACAAATTTAATGTGAATAATATATAAATTTAATGAAATCCAAGCTTAACTATTATTTTATAAAAAAATAGTAATTTCTATCTAAGCCTAGCTACGAAGCATAGTTTTTTGCCAAATAGGATTCCGAAACGTGTGAGTCTGCCACTTAGTCTCAACGCATTCGACAATTATATATAGGGGGTTATAAAATAGTATAAAATAGTTATTATGTTTAGAGAAAAACTAAAATTTGAAAATAGCAGAAAATCTTTTTGGCACTAGGACGATATACATTTAAACATGGAAAAATATTATTTATTTAATTTAATAACTATTTAGTTTTTTATCAAGTTTATCATACAAGCTATTGATTGCTAATGACAAGCCAAACCATCAATTTATATTTATATCCATGTCTTATTAATGAAAAAGGTGTATAAAAAACTAAGAATTTTTTTTTTGTCTTGTGTATTATTAAGTAAATGAATATATCAATTATATATAAAATTCAAAACTTGTTGGTCATATTGATCAACATTTTAAAAAACTTTTCTAACTTTTGTATTATTAAATAAATGAATATATTAATTATATATAAAATTCAAAACTTATTGTCATTTGATCAAAGTTTTACATATAAAACAATAAACCAATCATCGTTTTATATATATTTTTTTATTTAACACTCATAGTGCAACATAGGCAAAATTTTATTTTTGGTCCATTATATTGGCCATTTTCAAAGAAATATCTAACATTTTGGCAGACATCAAACTTAGTATAATAAAATAAAAAATTCATCATATTTGGTCCAATAATCACGCGATCTGGATAATTTGCCTAAGTGTCATGATTGGTATTTTCACGTCATTTTTTGAGCCAAACTACTTTCCAGGTGGCGATGACTGATTGAATGCTAGTCCAGACAAATTTAATTTTTTGGTCCATTATATTGGCCATTTTTGGCAGCATCCAACTTAGTTCAATAAGTTGAAAAATTCATCATATCTGGTCCAATAATCAGGCGATACAGATAATTGTCTACTTGTCATGGTTGGTATTTTTCACATCATTATTCAAGACAAATTAATTTCCAGGGCCAGTGCCAAACGCCCTGTGCGGCCACGCTGCATCCATCGCCTTCGCACGATTTTTCTTGAAATTATCGTCAGTCATGATCTTCAAAATTTTATAAAAATTGTGAGAAAACACTGATAGTAAATTTGATATGCAAATTATCACATACAACGCTAATAATCTCATATCTACTTTCCTAAGTAGCCACACCTTTAGAATCATTATTCTTTCATTAGATAGACTTTCTATCCCAGAAGGATTCTTTCTCCTCTAGGACTTTGGAAATTTCGAGGTCGACATTTCGTCCTCCTGACCTCATATGCCACGTGTGCTACCCTCAAGTCCCAACCTCCTTGCGTTGCCAATCTCAGCAACCTACTATCATAAGGTATATATTCTAGATATCCGAGCTCCTTAGGTTTCTTGACCCCGAGCTACCAATTCTGCCGAGCTTCCCTTAGTGTTCCACCAATTGCCTGAATCGGTTGTTTGACTTGTTTCATCATGCCAAGTTCAGTGAGCTACTTTGGGTGTTATATCACAAATGAACCGCATAATTAACAGTTATGCAATTCTTTGTCGCATATATACCATAACGCATATCCAAATTAGATGCATAGGTGATAATTATGCAAAAAAAATATTTGCATGTTTAGTTTTCGTATATCCAAATCTATTATGATTATGTAAAAAAATTTCACATAGTCTACATATTGCATATCGAGATCTATAACACAACATATAATTAAAAATTATGCGTAATACTTTTGCATATTCCAAAATCGCATATCCAAATTGAATTCCGTATAAATTACGTCTATCCACCATTTTATCGCAGATCCATATCACGATACACATATCCGAACATAATATTTCACATATGTTTCGTATATTTTATGCATTGCATTGATTGTTTGATTTTTCACGTAATGACTTAAGACAAATGCCATGTACCTATTATTAGTTGAGATGATGTATATGTACCACCATTATTACTACTCATTAATTGTACGCTTTATATGCTAACCTTTCAGGGAAACCGGTATGTTATTTTCATACATTTTTCGACGCCACCATAACTCTAAAAAGTTTCATATTTATTACACAGAAGGAGACCGACGCTGAGGCATTTTGCCTTCGGTACGGATTCTCTTGGTATCGTGAGTGTTCCGAGGTTTTTATCGAGCGCAACGCTACGGCAATCCGCTTGGAGGGCGGCCTGGTGCTTTGGTTGACAACCCAATCTAGGGAGAATACATAGACGGTGATAACAATGATGATGGCGATGATAATAAGAACCATCCGCTGGCACCAAAGGTGGAAGTCATCGATCTTGACCCTTAGGATCCATCAGAATAAATTGTAAAAAAACACGTATTCAATTTACGTTGTTTCCATGGGAATGGGAAAGGCCACAGTCTATGTATTCTAACAGTCATCGCTAGCTGAAAATTAATATGGCTCGGAAAATGACGTGGAAAAAACCAATCATGACACCTAGGCAAATTATCCAGATCGCCTAATTATTGGACCAAATATGATGAATTTTTTAAATTATTGCACTAAGTTTGATATCTGCCAACATGTTGGATCTTTTGTGAAAAATGGCCAATGTAATGGATCAAAAATGAAATTTCTCCTGGACTGGCATTCGCCAATCATCGCCACGTGGAAATTAAATTGGCTCAAAAAATGACGTGGAAAATATCAATCATGACATGTAGGCAAATTATCCGGGTCTGCGTGATTATTGGACCAAATATGATAAATTTTTCAACTTACTGTACTAAGTTTGATGTCTGCCAAAATGTTGGATCTTTCCTTTAAAATGGCTAATATAATGGATAAAAAATTAAATTTTGCCATGCAACAGAAATTATTTTTTTATATTTGTATAAAAATGACATTTGTATATTTTATATCAACATTACTTGAATCATTTTTTTTTATTTTAATATTGTAATAGTTATATGGCTTGAATATACCATACATTTAATTGAATAACAACTCTTATTTTTTCATGCATCGAGAGCTATAAAAGGTCAAGATTTAGGAGACTTCATACATAAGCATACGGTGGAAAAAGAGGTCTGCCAGTGGCTGGTCTACGTAGACGGCTCCTAGACTAATGGAGAGGCAAGTGCAAGGGTATTGATTGTAAAACCAGAACAAGACCACCTGGAGTTCTCAGTACAACTATCATTTAGGGTGTTGAAAAATGAGGCAGAATAAGAACTATTGAACGGAATTCAGCTCGTCGTTAAAGAAGGAGCTTAGCGCGTGATTTTTCACTCAGATTCTTAGCTCGTGGCTGAACTAGTCAAGGGAGAGACAAATCTAAATAAGAAAAAATTGAGAAGTATGTGGTCGAAGTGCAGTCATTGCTCAAAGGGTTCCCAACGTGAGAGCTACTACAGATACCTGGACGGGAAATAATAGAGCTTACTTGCTATCAAAGATTGCAGTGGCATTGGTCGACTGCAGGTCCTAGTCAATCACGTTGATGGATCAAGTAATGGGGCTCACGTTGATGGATCAGTACCTTGGATCAAGTAATGGAGCTCGCAGAACAAGAAGATTGGAGGGCGCCGCTACTAGTTAAGGTGGACACAAAACCCAGTCATAGACACTGACTTGCGAGGAGATCCAATAATGGCAAGGAAAGCTTGAGGTTCTTACTACAAGGTGGCCAGTTATACAAGAGGTCGTATGTGGGTCCACACCTGAGTTCCTAGGAAAGTTCACACGAAGGATGATGCGATGATCATATAAAAAAATTGTATAAAAAAAAACCACTATAATTGTAATAAAACCCATCAAAAGATTNAAATAACCAAATCAGCGTCACGGGCCGGTCACTTTAGTAACGAAACCATTCACGAGCGCCAACGCATTGCTCGTCGTCTTCCTCACCCACAACGCCCGATCACACACGTCTGCCTTCACTGGGCAGTTGTCCACGTCATCAAACCCATCTGCACACGTGTCCTCGTTAGTGAGGGCGGCGCTCATCCACGTCTGCACGTTGCTGACCTGGAACCTCAGCCGCTCTCCAGTCCCCGTCAGGCTGCGCATCTGCCGGAAGGACCCTCGTATCTGGTCCACCGCGTCCTCGAACACCGACAGGCAGTCCCGGAGGGCGGCGGCGGCCCTGGGGTTTGGCCCGTAGTCGGCCCGTCCGGTGAGGTTGCGCAGATACGCCGACGTTCGGGATGCCCTCGACAGGCTTACGCGGACGGCGACGGCGGCGAGGCGGGCCGGGTCACGGCGGACGGCGGCGGCGTAGCGAGAGAGGGAGTTGTAGCAGACGTCGGGGTATAGCGTGTTGTTGCAGCTTGTGTGGATAAATTCGGCGGCGGCGGGGATGGAGGTGGCGGAGCACGCCGGGATGAGGAGGAAGGTTAGTATGAGTGAATGCAACATTTTCGTGGCCTAACTAAAGCTGAAAAGTGTGTTTTAGTGCGTTTAAAAGTGTGGTATGCTTTTGTGCGAGAGATGTGTTTGTGTTTATGAGAAGAGAGGGAGGAGAGAGTGCGGCGGAATTAACGGGATTATCTTATATATGGGGAAGTTTGATTTCAACCGCAATATGTGGACTCGGATAAAGTAGTGATTTGACTATTTTACCCTTCAGACAAGACCGGGAAAGATGATTTTGTTACCGTAGTGGGGGTGCAGGAAAAGCCTAAAATTCCATCATCATCAATCTTTTTCCTTTGGAATATCATCAATTAACACATTTACACCATTAGAGCATCTCCAATGCTCTAATATTATAGTAGGATAAATTTTGACAAATGTCAAAAATTTAAGTAGATTGTGAACCATGTAGGACAAATGTTGAGTTCACAACTATTAAATTAAAAAATCATCTTTAATGTACAATGTAGTCAAATTACAATATTTTTTACTTACCAAATATTAAAATTTTAATATGAATTAATAACATTAATCAAATAATTAAATAGCTTAAAAATGGTAATAGTAATTCTATCTCTTCTCTTCATTGGCTAACTAGAGTGTGGAGGAGAATGTGGATGAACCACATTCTTCCTACATTGTAGACATTAATTATGTCCACATCATCACAATATTTTGTGATCACATTGTACATTGGAGAATGAAAAGTTGTAATATTAATAAATGTGTTGATGTGGAATGTAATTTGGTACTACAACATTGAGCATTGGAGATGCTCTTAATCAATATTATCGAAACCAATGTGTCTATTACTGTAATCAACTTGGATTATCTGGAATGTTTATTAAATTTTTTGTATGTTTTTGTTGTTTTAATTTGAATGAAGAATAAGGATAAAGGCATAAATGAATGAGATGGAAATAAGGAGAGGGAGGAGACAGGAAACATGAGCGGAGGGGAGAGAGAAAATGTAACTCGACAATAATTTTCTTGTTACATTGTACGGTATTGATGAAAATCTAGTCCGAACACATTTTAACTTGGTCAGACTTGATAAATTTAAGGGATAACAGACCACCCCATTTCATAAATGGGTTAGGTCTGGGTACTAATGTTATCTTGACACAAATTGACTCGATTCAGTCGACACCGTCCTGACCCCATTAGTATCCAGTTGAAAATGGTAAATAAGTCAAGGCCTAATCATTTATCTTGTTAATACCTGATAAATCAGGTGAATGTTTGTCACACATCAGATATGTACCAAAAGATGTATATGATATTTTTAGTATATTAGAAATTTGGATTACAACTGCAACTTATTCTATTCTATCATATCTTATAACGAAATCTTAATTAAAAAAATCTTAATTATTTGTGAGTTATTTAACTTTTGTTGTATTTTGTTGATGAGTTAAGTGAATTTGGTGTTGCAGTTGGCGGTGCCCGTAGATGTAGGCAATATTGTCCGAACTTCGTTATCAATTTTATGTGCTTTTTTTCTTTATAGTATTTTATTTATTTGTGTTGACTTATTTTGGTAGTAGTAGTGTTGGCTATTATTTGTTGTGGTGTTATTTTTGTCCGTTGCGCTTGTGTTGTGCAAATAGACCTCGATCGAGTTCGCACGAACTGGATCTTCTTTTTGACATGTTCATAGACCTGCAAAATGGGTTGAAAGGGGTTTACAACGTTAGCACTCCAACGACCAAGTTAGTCCATGATGATGAAAAAGACGGAGAACAGTGTAATTATGATTTGTAATTAGTATATAGAGTTTGTAGAGAATGTAGAGTATGAATGGACATACATCACCCCTTTATATAGGAGTGTATTATCTTGTTGCCCAAGACTGCTCGAATGGGCTGCTCGACTACCGAACTACCAAATTATGTTAGGTCACATGTTCTAATTCACGTGTAGTTCTTATCCTAATTATATTCCTTTTTATCCATTAGTTTGCCTAATTAGGCGGTCTAATCTTGCGATCGACTCTATGTACCTCGAGGTAGAGTGTCTTTTGTGCTAAGCTCGTATGCTGTCATCCAGGTCGATCCATCGACCGTCATACCTTCAGGTCGAGTTTCAATCTGGTCGTCCGAGGGCCCTGACTCAACCTATCAACAATCATCACTGCACGCGTCACCATCGACATGATGACTCTCCGACTTCTCTAGCCTTCAATCTCTTATCGACCTGACAATTTACTTGATTCTGCTGGTCTGATTCCTGGGTCAAATCAACCCGATATAGTATCACATAGCATAGAAGCTTAAAAGTGTGTATGCTTTTGTGGCAGAGATGTGTGTGTTTATGAGAGAGATAGTGGGAGAGAATGCGGCTGAATTAACAGAATTATTTACATATGGGGAGGCTTGAGTTCCATCGCAAAATGTTGTCTCGTGTAAAGTGGTGATGTGACTATTATGCCCTTAAAACAAGACCGTGAAAAGTGATTTTGTTTCTGTAGTGGGGGCGCAAGAAAAGCCTAAAGTTCCATCATCATCAATCCTTTCCTTTGGAATCTAATCAATCAACACATTTACAGCATTAATCAATATTATTGAAACCCAATGTGTTTATTTGGAAATACTACAATCTCGTTACGGAACCATTCCGTCGGGATTTTTAACCGTAGATATCCCATGTAGATTGGTGTAGATAGATTATCTACGGTTATAAATCCCGACGGAATGGTTCCGTAACGGGATGTAGTCATCTCCTGTCTTTATTAATGTAATCAACCTGGATTATCTGGAATATTTTTTAAATTAATACAACACTCGTGTACTACACCAGTACTTAAATATAGTAATATTTGTACAATAAAAATTAAAATCATTTATATTTTTATTGTGAAATTATGTATAGTGAATATATAACAATTAACAAAGTAATAATTAATTCAATATGGCGGCCGCATTTTCTCACTAAATCTGTCAAAATAAAAATTTTAATTATATTTTTTAAATTATGTATGTCTAAAATAGATATTATGTGATGAGCTCCGATGAAGATCGCCGTGGATCTGAGTGAAAAATAGGGTTTGGGAATTAGGGATCGATTTTGGATTTTGATGATTTAAGAATCTGATTTCTTTTTCTTATTATTTTCAAAAATGGGTTTATTAGTTGGGTTGAGTTGTTTTAATTGTTAGTGGGCTGGGAGTTTGAATATGTTGGGCTACGTATTTAGAGTTATTGCTTAGTGATGTATTAGGGCCCATTTTGGTAAAATACTACTATGTAAAGGATGATGAATGAAAGAGGGAATCATCATGTCATTATCATAACTAACAGTTTCTCTGTCTATCTGTCTCTGTCTCTTTTCTCTCTCTTACCTCACTACACGTTTTCTGCATCTCCTTCATCAAGCTATCTTCCTCAAAAATACAGAAAATCATTTTACAAAAAACAGAAAAAATACAAAAAATACCAAAACAGTACAATTGGTATCAAGCTATCTTCCTCAAAAATACAGAAAATCATTTTACAAAAAACAGAAAAAATACAAAAAATACCAAAACAGTACAATTGGTATCTCAGAGCAGCAGATCCTTGGAAATGGCTGAGAACACTCGCTTGAAAGACCTGCAAGAAAATCAGAAAAGGCTGGACCAAGTCATTCTTACTGAATCCATGAAACGAGACGCAATCGATATGAAATTGCAAGAACAAATGGCTGGGCTATCGGGTCAGAATTACAGAATAAAATGGCGGGGCTCGGATCGGGCTTACAGGATAAAATGACCAGCATTAATTCGGCGCTGCAACAACAAATGGGCAATTTGTATGTTAAATACGATCACATGTCTAGTGTTTTGGCGGCAATCCAGCTTCAGCTCCTGAATTTGAGTAAAGGAAAAGAAAAAGAAGGGAGGACGGAGGATTCTATTTTGGGCACACCTCTATCACATCAATCTACCAAAGTGGGAACACAATTTACCCAACAACAGCAATTGGGTAAACCACATCTGCAGCTGGGAAATTCATTACCACAAACCCACTTTGTCAACCCTATGCCCAAGGTGGATTTTTCAAGGTTTGATGGTCCAAACCCCAGGGGGTGGATCCTAAAATGTCATGGATATTTTCAGCTTATTCCTTACCTTTCTGATGCACAAAAAATTGTTCTAGCTGCTATGCATTTTGAGGGTAAGACGGCCTAATGGTATCAAACCTTCTGTGCCAAGTATGAAAATTGTTCATGGTCACAATTTTTGGAAGTTATTTCTTCCAGATTTGAGAAAATCAGGGAATCAAAGATAATAGGGGGAGTTTAATAAACTTAAAAACACTGGTTCCTATGATGATTATGTGGAGAAGTTTGTGGAATTGAAATCTTGTATGCTGTTGTTTAACCGAGGGGAATTTTCTGAAGAATATTTTATTGCCAGTTTTTTAAGTGGAATGAGTGTGGAAGCACAAGCTCTTATTAACATGTTTGAGCCCAGGACATTGCAGCAAACTATTGAGTTGGGAAAGAAACAACAATGCACAGTGGATTCCATTGTTAAGAAGGCCAAGGTACCTCATAAGTATACCCCTCAGTACAACACTCAGAGGAGAAATGAAGCACCAGCTTTTGAGGTTCCTTTTCCTAACAGTCAATTTAAACCTCCTGTTAAAATGCTCACAACTCATGAGATGGCTGCAAGGAGAGAGAAGGGCTTATGCTATAACTATGATGAACCTTATGTAGTGGGGCATAGGTGCAAAAATAGAGTCACCTATATGATCATGATTGAAGATGAGGAGCTATATTGCATGGAAAATGAAGAGTATAAAGAAGAATCACAACAAGCAACTGACATTGAAGAGATCCAGATGTCTCTAAATGCCTTAAATGGAGGACAAGGTTTAACTACTATGAGGTTGACTGGGGAGTGCAATGGTCAAACACTGCATATTCTTGTGGACTCAGGAAGTACACTAAGCTTCATACAAGAGCTGACTGCACAGAAACTGGGGTGTCCCTTGCAATCAGTTAGACCTATAATGGTGAAAGTTGCCAATG